TATGAATATAATATACAAGTTTCACTTTTTAAATGGAATTACTGAAATAAATCTACTTTTTCATGATATTCTAATTTTATGACCAGCACCTGTATATATTCATCAAGGGTCCCTGCAAAACTTCTCTCTCTGGTCTTCTCACCCATGCTCAGCTGCATCACCTGGACAAAGCTCAGACCATAGCACGCTAGTCATCTACCAGCAGTCTGTCTGTTGGACTCTTTAACACTTGTTCACTCTAACAAGGGGCTGTTTCTGAATGATCTAATCAGTGAGTCTAAGTTTGAGAGAAAATAAGTTGTAAAACGTTTCTGAACAAATCCACAGACAGATTGTGTTCTGTTTGTTGACATTCAGAGGTCCAGAGAAGAAAGTTTCAGGTTGGCATCAGCAGGATGGAGCTTCAGGCGGTCCTGGCCTACATCTGTCACAGTCCAAATCAACAGAGATGATCGGAGTCAATCCTAATTGGCTGAGGCTGGAGGCCCCGCCCCTGTTTCTTCTCCAGAGTGGGAACAGGACAGATAAGACCTCCGTCTCCTGAGAGCCTCACAAGTTGTGTTCCTGGACTCAGGTTTGGCTCCCTTTGTGGTTTTGTACACATCTGGGACCAGGTTCAGGATGGACCTGACGGACTTGAGTCTGACAGCTGGTTCTGACTTCATCAGTCCTCACAGGTGAGTCTGACCCTCAGGACACTCAGTCAGGGACTTTAGGGAGGTTTAACCTTTAAAAACCTCCAAATGTTCAAAAAGACCTTTTATTTATTGTTTCTTTATTTGTTGTTTATTTTATTTATTAATTTGTTTCATTTAATTAGTTTTATTTGATTGTTGTGTGTGATCGTTTCATTTTTTGTAAGTTTTCTCATTTCAAACAACAAATGTAAGAACAATAAAGACAGGTTCAACAGAAAACTAATTATTGTTTCTTAAAATACTTTTTAAAATGTATTTACRTCTCAAACTGGGTCTGACCAAAGATCTGGTCCAGGATCTGAGACTAACCATCAAAGTGTAGGTGATCCAAGGACAGAAAGAGGGTCAGATCAGGTCAGATTGAAACCTGTGGATCCAGAACTACTTACAGACTCAGAACTGAGGGACCGGATCAGGACTTTTGGACCGGACTGTGTTTTTATGAAAAGTTCGATCCAAAGTGTAAAACATGATTTTAGAGTTTGGATGTTTCTAATCTTCTCTGCAGCCTCCTGGACGACTCCTCTTCTTCCTCCTCTCCTGCTGATGAAGCTCAGTCTCCCACCTCCTTCTTCGACTCGTCTCCTCTCGACCTGCCAGCCTTCCTCCTGCCCAGCCCGGCCTCCTCCTCCTCCTCCTCCTCCTCCAGTGTGTTCTGTGGAGGTCTGACTCCTGGCTCTCCAGCAGGAGGAAGCAGCTTGGGGTCCGACAGCTCCATGTTTTCTTTTTCAGCCACGGTAACAAACTGTAGCCTCGCCGCTGTTCAGCTCCAGCTGCCACCAGGAGACCAAACATCTGGATCTGAGCTGTGGTGGTCTCCTGGTCCAGTTCTGGTTGTGTAGACTGTTTCAGAACCAAAACCCTSTCGGGAACCAGAAACGCAAAGAACTTCAAATCCAGTTCAAACTAGTCTGAGCTTAACTGGAACCATTCTGGTCTAAACATTGAGGGGTTCTGTTGGATCTCAGACAGTCCAGGAAAATGTTTCTTGTGTTCAGAAATGTAAAGTTTTGTTTCAGATAAGTGAATCTATCAGATTCCTCTTCAGGTCTGATTTTGGACATTTTTCTGATCTGCTGGTTTTCTCCAGGTCCTGAGGGGAGACTTCCTGACCCTGGTGGGGTCTGTGGGGACTAAAGGTCTGTGTCTGGTCTGTGGGGACTTGGCCTCGGGTTCTCATTACGGCGTGGCGTCCTGCGAGGCCTGCAAAGCTTTCTTTAAGAGGACGGTTCAGGGTAAGGACAGATCTGGCCTTTAGCTCAGAAATGTGAGACTTTCTTCCACGAACYAAAAACATTCAGGAAAAACTCTGAAACAGATTTTACTGAAGAACTCTTCACAAACCAGTATGTCACAAAGTTACATTTTAGAAAAAAAATCTTTATGAAAATTCTCTGCCTCTTTCTGGAGCCTGGTGGCCGGGCTTTCACCCATGGAGCCTGGTCAGGCACAGCCCGAAGAGTAGACGTGGGTCCCCCTTCCCATGGGCTCACCACCTGTGGGAGGGGCCGTAGGGGTCAGGTACAATGTGTGTTGGACAGTGGTTGAAGGCGAGGACCTTGGTGGTCTGATCCTCGGCTACAGAAGCTGGCTCTAGGGACATGGAATGTCACCTCTCTGGTGGGGGAGGAGCCTGAGCTGGTGTGTGAGGTTGAGAGGTTCTGACTAGATATATAGTTGGACTCACCTCGACGCACCACTCTGGTTCTAGAACCAGTCTCCTCCAGAGGGGTTGGACACTCTTCCACTCTGGAGTTGTCCATGCTGAGAGGCACTGAGCAGGAGTGGGCATATTTATTGCCCCCCATCTTGGTGCCTGTATGTTGGGGTTCACCCCGGTGAACAAGAGGGTAGCCTCCCTCCACCTACAGGTGGGGGGACGGGTCCTGACTGTTGTTTGTGCCTATGAGCCTAACAGCAGTTCAGATTACCCACCCTTTCTGGAGTCCTTGGAGGGGGTGCTGGAGAGCGCTCCTAACAGGGCCTCCCTTGTTCTGCTGGGGGACTTCAACGCTCACGTGGGCAATGACAGTGAGACCTGGAGAGGTGTGGTTGGGAGGAACGCCCCCTCCTGATCTGAACCTGAGCRGTGTTTTGTTATTGGACTTCTGTGCTCATCATGGATTGTCCATAACAAACACCATGTTCAAACATAAAGGTGTCCAKATGTGCTCTTGGCACCAGGACAYCCTAGGCYGCAGTTTGATGATCGACTTTGTTGTTGTTTCATCTGATCTGTGGCTGCATGTTTTGGACACTCAGGTGAAGAGAGGGGCGGAGCTGTCAACTGACCACTACCTGGTGGTGAGTTGGCTCCGATGGTGGGATAGGATGATGGTCAGACCTGGCAGACCCAAATGTATAGTGAGGGTCTGCTGGGAACATCTGTCAGAGACTCCTGTCAGACGGAGCATCAACTCACACCTCCGGGAGAACGTTGAACACGGTCCAGGGGAGGTGGGGGACATTGAGTCCAAGTGGGCCATATTCTGTACCTCCATCGTCGAGGCGGCTTGTCTGAGCTGTGGCCGTACGGTTGTCTGTGCCTGTCTTAGCAGCAACCCTTCAAACCTGCTGGTTGACACTGGCAGTGAGGGATGTCGTGGGGGGGGGGGGGGGGGTTGCCACCAACACTGTTTATGGTGGGGATGGTGCACTGCTGACTTCGACTCGGGACGTTGTGGGTCGGTGGGCAGAATACTTTGAAGACCTCCTCAATCCCACTGACATATCTTCCCATGAGGAAGCAGAGCCTGAGGACCCTGGGTCGGACTCTCCAATCTCTGGTGCTGAGGTCACTGAGGTGGTTAAAAAGCTCCTCTGTGACAGGGCGCCGGGGGTGGATGAGATTCACCCAGAGTTCCTTAAGGCTCTGGATGTTGTGGGGTTGTGTTGGTTGATGCGACTCTACAATATCACGTGGACATCGGSGGCAGTTCCCCTGGATTGGCAGACTGGGGTGGTGGTCTCCCTATTTAAAAAGGGGGACCACAGAGTGTGTTCCAACTATAGGGGGATCACACTTCTGAGTCTGCCTGGTAAGGTCTATTCAGGGGTCCTGGAGAAGAGGGTCCGTTGGATAGTCAAATCTCAGATTCAGGAAGAGCAGTGTGGTTTTGGTCCTGGTCATGGAACACTAGACCAGTTCTACACCCTCAGCTGGGTCCTGGAGGATTCATGGGAGTTCAACCAGTCTACATGTGTTTTGTGGACTTGGAGAAGGYGTTCAACCGTGTCCCTTGGGGACTCCTGTGGGGGGTACTCCAGGAGTATGGGGTACCAGCCCGTTGATACAGGCTGTTAGGTCCCTGTACGGCCGGTGCCAGAGCTTGGTCCACATTGCCGGTAGTAAGTCGGACTCGTTGCTGGTGAGAGTTGGACTCCACCAAGGTTGTCCTTTGTCACCGATTCTGTTCATAACTTTTATGGACAGAATTTCTAGGTGCAGCCRAGGTGCTGAGGGGATCTGTTTTGGTGGCAGAGCGTGAAGCGGCCGTGATGAGGATCAGTGCCTCCAAATCTGAGAATTTGGTCTTGAGCAAGAAAAGGGTAGGTCCTGAGAGAGATCCTGCCCCAAGTGGAGGAGTTTAAGTATCTTGGGGTTTTGTTCACAAATGAGGGAAGAATGGAGCAGGAGATCAACAGGTGGATTGGTGCTGCGTCTGCAGTGATGCGGGTGTTGTACCGGTCTGTCTTGGTGAAGCTGACTCAGCTCTCGATTTACCAATCAGTCTACCCTCATCTATGGTCACGAGCTTTGGTTATTGACCAAAACGAGATTGTGGATACACGTGGTTGAAATGAGTTTCCTCTGCAGGGTGTCTGGGCTCTACTTAGAGATAGGTTGAGAAGCTCAGTCATCCAGGAGGGACTCAGAGTAGAGCCGCTGCTCCTCCACATCTAGTAGTACCTTAAGTATCAGGACCAGTTCACACCATCAGCTGCATCTATCTCTTCAGACATCTGGTTCTGACCTGTTAACAAAAACCTGTGGTGGGGGCAGTGCAGGAGAATGTCTTTTTAAAATATCCAAAGTAAAGACAAAGTCAGAAAAACACAGCAGACAGAACCAAAGCCTGTTCTAGACTCCTCTTCTTTGAACCACTCACAAGAATAAAACTGAGGAAGATGTTTTTGTTTTGTGCCTGTGTTTGAAAGCTTTAAAGAGAAAGTCTGGAGCAGTTGTTGAAGCTGTGTGTGCTTCTCAGGGAACATGGAGTACAGCTGCCCCCTGAACAACCAGTGTGAGGTCACCAAACGCCGGAGGAAAGCCTGCCAGGCCTGTCGCTTCCAAAAGTGTCTGCAGGCCGGGATGCTGAGGGAGGGTAGGTTCTGCTGAGTCATTGTGGGTTCTGCTGAGTCACTGCAGGTTCTGCTGAGTCATCACAGACTATCACATAGAAGAGAAATGATCTTCAGAAAGATCCAGACTTTCCTGCAGACCTTTCAGAGCTAGACTTTAGACTGGTCTCTGGTGTCGGGTCCAGTCCTGTGAACTCTAGGTAACATGTGTTCCAGGGGTGCGTTTGGACCGGGTCAGAGGGGGGCGTCAGAAGTACAAAAGACGGCTGGAGATAGGTGGAACAACATGTGTAAAGAACCCGTACGGTTCTCCTGGCAGAACGAGTGAGTTCCTTCTCTTTGGTTCTGAAGGTTTCAATAAGGGTCCGGTTCTGGGTTTTTGACTGTTCTAGGTCTGTTTTTCAGGAAACAAAGTGATCTCACATCTCCTACTAACAGAACCGGGCCCGCAGGCCGCCTATCAGGACCAGTCAACCAGCGACAGCAGCTTGCAGACCCTGCTGACCCTCTGTGACCTGCTGAACCGGGAGCTGCTGGTTCTGGTTGGCTGGGCCAAACAAATCCCAGGTAAACCCACTTAGACCCACAGAGGACCCCTGGGACTGGACCACAGTCACACCTGTCTCTCCACCTTTCCTAGGTTTCTCTGAACTCTCATTGGTTGATCAGATGTCCCTGCTGCAGAATGGTTGGATGGAAGCCTTGCTGGTGGGCGTGGCCTGGCGGTCACAGGGCTCAGTGGGGGAGGAGCTTATATTTGCTGACAACATGTGTCTGGACGAGGCTCAGTGTCGAAGCGCAGGATTGGGCGGCGTGTACGAGGCAGTGCGTCACCTGAGCCTCCGGTACCGGTCCATGAAGCTGAGCCGGGAGGAGGCGGTGGCACTGAAGGCCATGGCGCTTGCCAACTCTGGTACGAACACGCCGACGACACTTTTGATGTGATCTGATGTCTGCAGTCAGTTCAAACTGGCCCTCTAAGGACATAAACTGATGCTGGTGATTTGGACATTAGAGGAATATACTGGACAGAACAGAACCGGACCATCTTAGGTTCTGATCAGGTCCGCTTGAGTTGGTTTAAAGGACAACCAGTGGCTCAGAGAATATTTCTACTGACAATAAAAACAACTTTAAGACAAACTGAATTATAAAACATTTGGTTTTACAATAAATATTATCAACAGAACTTCATCCGTCAGGTAGTGACCCTGTAGACTGACCTGTAGACTGACCTGGTGGACTATTCTTGTAGACTGACCGGGTGGACTGACCTGTGGACTGACCTGTGGACTGACCTGTAGACTGACCTGTGGACTGACCTGTGGACTGACCTTGTAGACTGACCTGTGGACTGACCTGTAGACTGACCTGTGGACTGACCTGTGGACTGA